GAGATAAAAATGAAACTTCAGTTTTGGGGTTTTGATGATTAAGTAGATTGCTGTTATAAAAATGGATAGCATTTACTATTTCTATACAAGTAAAAAACTGAGGTTACAATTGTATTATGTAATTTACTGCACCCCCCCCAAAAAAGTCGTTTGTCCAGGATATAATAACTTCTCCTATCTTGTATGTGAAGTTGGATTGGAGGAGTTCAAAGTCCCTTCCAGGCCAATGAGTCTATAATCCAGAGTTTTTGCAGATGACAATTTGAAGACAGGACACTTGTAGGCCTAGATAGCAGAGCTTTCTCTTTCTTTTATCAAGTTTTTTTTACATAAATGTATCAAATCAATGCGTGAACAGTGTGACATCTGGGTGTCATTCTAATACAAATAAAACTAACAAAGTTAATCATAATTATTACATTCAATCAACTTATTTCTAGTAAATAATATGCATTTGTTTTAGATTGCAATCTATCATTTCCATGTTTTCTTGTTATTGCTTTCATTTTATTATATAAAAATGTATCCACTGATATCCCCCCTTCTCTTATTTCTATCACCTATTCTTGCTTTTAATCATATCACCCTTTATTAAAAAAATCTTTTCCTTTCTTTTCTTTCTAACTTCTAATCATGTCACCTACCTTAAAAAAGAAAAAGGAAAAGAGAAAGGGAGAAGCAAATCAGAATAACATAAAAGAAATCATCCATCCATGGTCTCTTGCCCGCTTCAGTACTTTTAATTGCTATGCTTTAAGAGAAAGAGAGGGAGAAAAAGCAAATCAAAATGATTTAAAATAATAATAATCATCATCATCTATCCATCGTCTCTTCCCCATTTCAATACTTTAATTGCTATGCCTTTTTTAACTTGCCCTGCAAATTCCTCTTAGATCTTTATCTCTGTCTACGCTTGCTTCTTGGACGTTCAATCTAGATATTCTTCTCCCCTCTCCCCTAGATACCAGAGCTTTCAATCACCGCTTTTCCCATGTGTTCTGACCTTTCCTATTTCACATTAATGAGAGAGATCTAGGACAGAGACAGGCAACCAACAGCCCTACAAATGATAGCAAATCCCATCATGCCTGACCATCCCTAACTAGGACTCATGCAATGGAAGCACAAGTAGTCCTTGCTTAGGGATGACATTTGGAACTGGCAACCGTTGCTAAACAGCACAGCCATTAAGCTAGTGTCACATTACCTTGACCTGGTGTAGGAAAACCTACACCATTTCAGATGAGTGGTTGGTCCAATTTCTTCTTTAAAAATATCTAGTGATGGAGCACCACAACTTCAGGAGACACGTTGTTCTACTGGCTGTACTATCAGTTTAGTCCTCCTTAGTTCTAGGTTGGTTCTCTTCTTGACTAATTTCCATATATTGGAATCTTGCTTTCTGGTCCCTTGAAGAATAGGTTGGCCACTTCTTCTTTGTGGCAGCCCCCTAGATATTGGAAGGCTGATATCATGTCACCCCTAGTCCTTTTCATTAGACATATCCAATTCCTGCAACCATTCTTCATATTTTGACCTCTGGTCCTCTAATCATCTTTCCTGTTCTTTTCTACACTCTTTCTAACAGTTAGCCCATCCATCCATTATACACGACAGACTTCAATAGCTGTATTGTATATTATTGGTGGATGGGTTTAAGTTAGCTTGTTATGAATGATGCTGTTTTCTGTATGAGTTTTTAGACTGCTGACTTATTCTGTTATTTTATATTTTCTACTTTGGCCCTATTCAAGTTTTCTTAAATCCAATTCATAGTATATTTTAATCTATGACCACAATTGAGCTCCAAATTTCCACTGCTAAGCAAGACAGTTGGCTGAGTTTTGCCCCATTTTACATGGTTGTTAAGTGAGTCAATGCAGTTGTTGAGCTACTAACAGTTGTTGACTTTGCTTGTCAAAAAGATAAAAAATATGATCACCTGACCTTGGGACATTGCAACCGTCATAAGTATACGCCAGTTCCTAGCATTAAAATTTGGATCACATGACCACAAGGATGCTGCAACCATCATGTGAAAATTAGCCATAAATCACTTTTTCAGTGCTGTTGTCACTTTGGTCACTAAATTAATAATTGTAAATTGAGGACTACCTATAATTTATCTTGGAGTACTTCAGTTGAGAGTATGATTTTTCTAAATAAAGCAGATAGGAAGCAAAGGAAAAAATATCTTAGTTCTGATAAAATTAATTTGATTAAAGTGTATTCTCATAGCTTTTAGGATATAGCATTTTATAACTTAGTGCTCAGTGCTTTAGGAATATACTGGAACAGCTTTGGAATACTTATATTTACATCAGTACAAAGCACATTTGAGAAAGTTTTCAATAAAATTCCACAACACAAGAGATTAAAAAGAAATCCTTTTTATTTACACATTTCAATTACAGTGTGTAGGTTGAAAATCACAGTTAACTGAATCAGTTTATAAGCATGAAAGTCATGAATCACAGATTTGTAAAGCAGTTTCCACAGTGTAACAACAAACTCTGTAGACAATGGTTCAAGAAAGCAAGAAAAGAAATGGCATATAAAATGCACAACGATTACATCTCACAACATGAGTTGTAAAGTGATTTGGCTAGCGAATGCTGTCAAAACATGAGGCCATAATCACACACCCCTACCCCCCCCACCCCACCAATGAGTCAGTAGCACAACAGATCTTACTGCATTTGTCCCAGAAAACATATCAGTCCAGATTAAAGCAGAATACATTGGAACAGCATTTCTGGTTCTATATAGGCGTATCCAGTATTTCACAACATTACAGGTTAGGAAGGATCACACTCAGTAACAGTAAGCAAGGCTTCACAAGTCTGACACTATTACTACACGACAACTATCACCAAGCTATCACTACCACTCAGAGAAAACTAGAAGAGCCTGGAAAAAGAAAAAAAGATTAGTAACAAGGGGTTCTGCTGGAACAGCTCCTGGGTACCACCTCCCTTTAGAGAGAAGGAAAAATAACATAAATAAACTCTTATTAAATAGATTATCCAGTTGTCCAAAATATAAATCTTTCCTAAAAAAGAAGAAATCCTGTAATGGAAAAAAAATATTAGTGTAGGTTAAGAAGCTACAAGTCCATACATCAAGAAAGCAGAAACATCTTCTGTTTAATATATGTAAAAATCATTATCTGGAATAGGTCATTCCAGAGAATCCAAAATGTTGTTTCCCCCTAAACCATAACAATCCTGGGAGCAGTTCAGTCGTTTTCAGATATATATCTACTTCACCAGAAGTTGTTCAGAGGTTCCAACCGTTATGTTCCAAAAGAAACAGAAACGTTATGATCCAGATGTGTGGAATGATCTGGAGGGAAAAGGAATATTCTGGAATTCTCTGGAATAGTCTAAATGTGATGAAATTTGCAAATGCCTATATTGGTTTATAGTGGTCCATTAATGAAACTAGCTAATGGATTTCTAAAGGAAAGATTAACAAGAAGCGAATGGTTAAGGAGAGACTCAAAAGGAGAAAATTGTTCCAATACTGGAGATTTTTAAGAAAAGATTGGGCAGCCATATGTCTGGAACGGCATAGGGTGTCCTGCTTGAGGAGGTGGTTGGACTAGAAGACTTTTAAGGCTCCTTCTAACTCTTTTATTATTTTATTATTCTGTAATCACCCAACTTACTGGTCACTGATATTAAAGGTAGCAGTCACACAATTTGATGGGTTTGTTGTAAAAAGATGGATCTCTGAGAATAGCCTTTCTCAAACTGAGGTCTCTGAGGTATGTCTGGACTACAGTTCTGAAATGTTATAATCCTAACGTATCTAGATTGGATGCTAGATATAAACCACTAATCCTTCTAATTGTAACTTTATGATTTGCTGAAAGAACAGAATTCAAGAATGCGGATCTGATACAATGCAATACAATACAATGGTGTAAGAAAATAATTTAAGGTAAAGGTTCCCCTCACACATATGTGCCAGTCATTCCTGACTCTAGGGGGTGGTGCCCATCTCCGTTTCAAAGCTGAACAGCCACCACTGTCCGAAGACGTCTCAATAGTTGTCTGAAGGTGCACGGAATGCTGTTATCTTCCCACCAAAGGTGGTTCCTATTTTTCTACTTGCATTTTTACATGCTTTCGAACTGCTAGGTTGGCAGAAACTGTGACAAGTTAAGGGAGCTCCCTCCGTTACATGGCACTAGGGATTCAAACCGCCAAACTGCCAACCTTTCTGATAGACAAGCTCAGAATCTTAGCTACTGAGCCATAGTTTACTTGAGTGCAAAAATGCCACAAAGTGAAACACTAATGGGGCTTAAGAACCAGGAAGTGAAGGGGAAATAAATCAATTGACTATTTTAACATGAGGCACAAGATACTTTAGAATTTGTCAAATTTACAACTAAGATGTATGGACTTCAACTCCCATTATTCTGGGAATTGAAGTTCACCCATCTTAAAGTTGCTAAAGTTAAGAAACTGTTCTAGAACTAAACTCAACGGCTGGCCTGCAATATGCCACTTCCGATCACCAGTGACAATTAAAACAGTTATATAAGGGAAAGAAGGGACACACTTACCACTCATTAAGTCATATAGACCTCATTTTAGCATCTAAAAATGTTAAGATAAATATCCCTCTTTTTTGTATTTTTTAGGAGAAGGGTTTGCAAAAGCTCAATGTGCACATTTTCCTTCTGACAATTCTGAAACTGTGCTCTCCAAATAGGTCCAATCTCTCAACTAAGTATGCAAAGCCTAGAAATGCCCTTGAAATGGGATATGTTCCTGCTTTATGCCACGCTAGTCACATACAAAAAATTTGGACCCAAGTTCCTAAGTAATTCCCTTAATAAAGATTGAACAGTCAATTCAGCTTTAGTCTGAATATATTTAAAGAGAGAAAAGATATTTTTAAAGAGAGAAAGGCGGGAATGGGGGAGGGGAAGGGAAGGGAGGGAGGGAGGGAAGAAGACAGAAAGAGAAAGAGAGAGAGAGAAAGAGAAAGGAAGGAAGGAAGGAAGGAAGGAAGGAAGGAAGGAAGGAAGGAAGGAAGGTGCAAGGGCCCAATGAATGAAAAATCATGATTGGAAAAATGCCATAAGCATGATGTAAAACTAAGGCAACTGCTGAGCTAGATAGATTCAGTATAAACAAACAAACAAACAAACAAACAACTTGAAGGTCTCCTATAAAGGAATGGGTCTGATGCAGTAGTTCCACCTGTTTAAAAAAAAATGATTTCAAAGTTAAGCTCTGGAGGAGTCAGGAATGAATTATTTCCCCTATACCTGAAAGAAAAACATTACATAAAAATAAATCTTCATTTTTAGCTACATAAAATGGGAAAGGAAACAAAACATGCTTCACAGAACAGACCAGCATTATGCATGTAAGTCAAACAGATTAACTGTACAATTTTACTCTCAATAATAATTTCAATAAATCAGCACATTTTCTGCATTACTAAACTAAGGGAAAACTATATCATTCAGCTGGATGATCTAGTTAAAATCACTGGCTTTGGGGATCCTGCTTACCAGAGTGCATTAAAGATTTTTCATTAAGAACTTTCTCCCATTCTCTTCTTTAAATGTTTTTAAACCAACGGCAAAGAGAAACACTGAGTTTTATCTCTCTCTTTTTTTTTTACATTCTGAACCAAACATCTCACATAACAGAAAAAGAAGCAGCACTACCAAAGATGATAATATATCCTTTGAATGTCACAATTAAAAATGATCCTTCCCAACCAGATTTATACCAAACGCTGGCATACATGAGATCCAATATGAATCAATGTTCCATACATTAGGGCCCAAGGCCCATTCCAGAAATAAGTTATTAAATATATATAAATAAATAAATGAATAAATAAATAAATAAATAATAGGTTACAATAAACCTTACACACAAATCCTTAGGATTTAAAATAGTTTGCAATACTTCACAAATGCAATACTTTGGTAAACAGTATGGGTCTTTTGCTATTTCGTGGTGACCTTAATTCAAATACACCTCAACCAAGCTATTCGGAAATATGTTATGGCTTTAAAAGCCAACTGCGCTACTTTGGATGCCATTAAAAGAATTCTCCAACCCTTCTTTTTGTCCAATATGGCTGCTGCAAAATAAAGCTCAGAAGACAGTGAGAAAGGCATTCAAAGGGGGTGGAAATGGGGAGAGAAAGGAAGAAGCCCATTCATATGTATGTTATACTGCCAACCTACCGGTAGTTAATGAAAAGATATTAAGAACCTACACTAGAAAGTTGTGGATAGGAAGCCTGCCTTATTTGTTTTCCTAGTACTAAGGAGTGCCCATAAAAAGATCTAAAAAGTGCCAGCAAATAAAATATATTTCATGAATAAAATCATGAAAACTGAAACTGGGTATATCAGATAAATAGAATAAGTAAACTAACATCTAAAGTGTATCTCTGAGATAGTGTAATTAACTTGACTTCCTGGTTCAAGTAAATGTTTCTAAAGGGTTTAATAGCTGCCAAAATTCCTTTGGATCAACTATGAAAAGTTTCCAGCATCACTTATTATTCTGAAAAGTGTCCAAGGTAACATTATGTTTTCAATTCTTCTGTGATTGCTATGTTTTGGTTCTTTGAGCCCTCTTGGTGATGAAATATTCATTTATACCATTTAAAGTCAGTTGCTGACAAGAAATACAGCAATCCCTTAGTTTCACCATTTGGGCCACTTGAGGAAAAACAAGAAACCAGAGAAGAATGAAGGAGAAATGTCATGTTATGCTGGCATTTTCCTACAAAGCTGATCAGCTCACTTTAACCTCACTCTTTAAGGGAGATGGGTGATCTAGAAATATGAAGCATGAAATAAATAAATAAATAAACAAACAAACGAACAAACAAACAAATAAATTGTTGTAGAAGGTTTTGTTGTTATGTAACTCATACTAGGTCTCTTCAACAATGGACTATATTCTTGCCACATAATTCGTACCAGCACTTAGATGCTGCTATCTCAAGGACAATACTTGGTCAACAGTGGTTCAATTGTTCAAACAACCTAGTTTGATACAATCTACAAATAGTTGATGCATTCATCTCTATACAGTCTGGCTCTCCCTGCATGTTTTAGGGTGTTAGCCCTGTAAATGTATTTTTAATAATTATAAATTTGACTTCTGCTGAACATCCCTCCCTTATGACCAACATTTCAGAACAACTTTTAAAAATCTGAAGAAGTGTAAAACACAAATAGTTATATAGAGATGATATTCTGTAATCTTCCCATGAGCACTAAACCAAGAGAAAATCACCCTCATTTTTAGCCTGGACAAAAACATCATTACAGGATTATCTTTAATTTCTTTTGAAATTATCCAACCTTGTCCAAAATGAATGTTAAAAGTGCATGAATTAATGAATATGATAGTGGCCATTTAGCTTTGAACTACAAAATTATTAAATATTCAGCATCACACTTAACTTGACTGCACTTATCATTGATATGAGTAGAAAAACTAAACTAACTTGGAAAATGTTGCCAAATTAAATGAAAATTATCTCTATAAGAGAAAAAAGTTTCCACATACAGTGGTCACTGGCTAAACATCTGTACCAAATGTATGCTTTCGAAGTTTCAGAACAAATAATACACAGGTCAAGATACATGTATTGACTTAACTGGCATCTTTATAAAAACAGAAGTGTTACACCAATAATAATAGCAATAATAACAGCAACATGGAACCATTTTCATTCAACTCTGATAAAACAGCACAACTGCCCTCCTCCCCATCCCACCAAACAAGCTTTTGTGTAACTAAATTAGTAATATGTGAACAGCTTCATTTAAATTTGTTTTAAAGTCTTGTATTTACACAATATATTAAATGCAATGATTGCATTTTTGCATTTTTAAAATAACACATGATAAGGAAAGAACAAGATAATGGTTGCAACAGATCTTCTACCAAAGATGTGGAGATAGTTTAGGAAGCATTGTGGAAAGAACAGGCTCTCGTATTTTTACGGTGATTAGCTTTTGTGGAAGGCATCTCAAAATTAGGGACCAATGTTACTGTGATCATGTCAGTTGATATTAATCAGTTGAGGTATTGTAGTATCTATAGACAATTCAAGTGAGAGATTTGATGCCCATCAATTATAGGGCAAGTTTCCTTCTGCTTACTATGAAGAAAGAGAAAAAAATATTCACTTCTTCCTCTTTTCCTTATCTCAGAAAATCCCTTCTACTAAGATGGTGAGTGTGTTATACACACATTAGACCCTTCCTATCATGTGTATGGGATGGGCCTCAGACAAAGCATACTAAAGTCCACCCCATTATTTTAAATGCTATACCACAGAAGATTTCCCCAAGCTATAAGCCTTAAAAGCATTAATTAACACTGTCCTCAAAATACCTTAAACTGTTTAGAAGGTTATCCAGCCTAAGCAAAGATCTGTTGACATAAGAAATAAAAGTTTCCTCGGACCTCAAATGTGATGTAGAGGTTGGGCACTATAAAACTCCCCTCTCTGGCAGGCATTGTTGCATTTAAGTTGTACCTGAGCTATGTGGTGAAGACTTTCTAAAAAAAAACCTGGTAACTTTAAATGTTAATTCCTAAATAGCAATTTTAACTTTGTGGAAAGACTATATCATATCCTGGGATGGACAAAGATATAATATGCTCTCTCTCGACTCTGAGGGTCTGTTCTGTTTTTAACACAATTCTAAGCACTGAAAAGCTAGCCTAAAATGCACCTTCAACTAAAATCCCAGGTTTTTTTTTTTAACAAACTCAAATTAAGAGCTGTAAATAATAAAGGCCTCTCTGGTATAGTCAAATTCAAGCTCTACTTCGCAAAGATGAAGATGGTTTTCACTAACTATCATTAAAAACCCTAACATTATCTTCACATCCTACACTATACCAAAATGCTATAGCTGTAATTATTACCTCTAAGGGGGGAAAAACAGCTTTGTCTTTAAAAGACATGATATATTTTCATATCTTTATTGCTGATTCCCTCCTGTTCTTAAGCAGGAACACAGCTTTAAAAGCCTTCTAGTTTTTACAGAATATGATTCTGAATAATTAGAAAAGGAACATCACTACTTGCGTAACCTGCAGTCCTGAAAGAACATCCCTTAACTATTTTTCTATACCCTCAAAGGAACTTATAATCTTTACTTGCTCTATGTTTATTGGCCTGAAATGTATAAACATTGAATAGATTTCTAAGAGTAGTAAAAGGAATTCTCTCTTCTCACATCTTTTTTTGAAGGAAAGAGTTTATTTAGTGTAAAATAAAATCTCAGAGAGGGAATGTCTTCATAATTCACCAGGTGGTGTGGGAATAGTACTAGAGTACGATTTGGAAGACTCTACTGTTATCAAGTATTACTGCCAATTATTAAACAGAAAGAAAAAATAATTAAAATATGAAGCTCAACACCAGTAACTTACTTCCCCAAAAGCCTAGGCAAAATGGATCCCCTCTTCCTGAATATGTAACTTCCTCATACTAGCAACCCCCAGTTATTTCCTGGCCATACAGGCCCTGTAAGAAAGCAGAAGAGAAGGCTGAAAGACAGGTTGTTCTAAGATTTTGGACCCTGAACACGACCATCCTTCCTAGGTAATGACATCATCTGGTCAGACAATTTGTCCAAAATAGGGTTAGTAAGAAATATTAGGAATACTGAGAGGTATACTTTATGTGCAACAATTATATTCACTTTACTAGGAATAAGATCTTTCAAGAATGAGCTTCAAAGCCTCTGGGCAAAAAAAAGAAAGAAAATCCATTAAATTATATGGCTCAGTGTTTATTGTGTACTATAGGCATCTGTATGCTTAGCTACAAACAGTAGATTATGGGTGCATTCTGATTTCAACATCCCACACTGAAGATAAGGGCAACCATTATCAAATATTCTTTTCTAAGAAAAAATATTATAAAAGTTATTTTCAAGAGTCAAAGTTCTTTTGATCCAAGACATTGTGATCACATAGCATATAGCCTAAAATATCCATGTATACTATTCACACGGGAGATCTGTAGTTCTGTATGTTCCATACAGATAGTTTTCACTCTCTGTCATCCTTCCATTTGTAGCAAGGTGGTTGATGTTGTTGTTGTTGTTGTTGTTGTTGTTGTTGTCAGCAGCTGTCACAGAGTAATTTTGAATTTTCAGAAGGAGTCTGCAAAGCTGGCACCGGAAATTACAGGGAGATTCTACCCTTCTGACTTCCTCCGTAACCTGCTGTATTTTAAGACAACTTAGGCCCAGTGGGTCACTCCACTATCAGCGCCACGTTGATATGGGAAAGATCTATCATGTGCCTGGAAAAAGATGAATTCATAATGACTTAAGGCAGATGTATTTTTTTTAATGGATGAAGGAACTTATTTAGTTACACACTTTCTTCCCATTTTAGGCATAGTTCAGAGATAGCCAAGTTTTCTAAGCCAATATTCCTCAAACTATAAAAAACATTGGGTTGTTTCATTGTCAGATTTATTGATTGATTGATTGATTGGTATGCTGCCGATGTCAGCTCTGGACAGATTTACAATGCAATAAAAATAGAAATATAAAAGCAATTATAAATTTGGAAATAACAGATAAAATTACAAAAATTAAATACCAATAAAGGAGAATATTTGTAGCTCAGAGTTGAAATGTGGGGTCTTTAATGCTCTCTGAGATTGCTTGTTTTCTTGCAGATTTTCATTACTATTCAACACATTTCAACCAATGGATACCCACACAACTTTATCAGAAAGTCCCTGATCATTCAACCCAATACAGCACAACCTACACGCACCCTAAAAAGAGTTACACTGCCATACATCAAGAATATCTTAGAAACCACTAACAGACTACTACAACCACATGGAATCAGCATAGCATTCAAGCCAACTAAAGCCCTTCATAACATCCTAGACTTCAGCTAGTCCAGAATGCGGCTGCGCGAGCGATTGTGGGTGCACCTCGCTTCACCCACATAACACCTATCCTCCGCGAGCTGCACTGGCTTCCGGTCGATCTCCGGGTACGCTTCAAGGTGCTACTTATCACCTTCAAAGCCCTTCATGGTAGTGGATCTGGGTACTTGAGAGACCGCCTACTGCCAATTACCTCCACCCGACCAATTAGATCCCATAGATTAGGCCTCCTCCGAGTCCCATCTGCCGGTCAATGTCGACTGGCAACTACGCGGAGGAGAGCCTTCTCGGTGGCAGCTCCGACCCTCTGGAACGATCTCCCCGTGGAGATTCGTACCCTCACCACCCTCCAGACCTTCCGCACAGCCCTTAAAAACTGGCTATCCCGTCAGGCCTGGGATTAAAGACTGTAACCCACCCGAATAGTATGAATGTCGTGCTTTTAATGATGTATTGTCTTATGTGTCAATTGTCTGTTTCCCTCCCTTTTCGAGTTGTAAGCCGCACTGAGTCCCCCCAGGGAAAAGGGCGGCATATAAATAAATTACTCTAAACTCTAAACTCTAAGCCAACCAAAAGACTCAGCAACCCCAGAAGAAAAACAGAAGTCATCTACAACATACAATGTAAGAACTGCAACAATCACTTACTATGTAGGACAAACAGGCAGAAGACTGGCTGAACACATCCACGAAGACCAACTGGAAGTCAGAAGACATGACAGAAATTCTTTAATTTCGCAACAGACAGACAGACTTAACCATAGTTTCAATTGGGAAAATGTAACAATCCTAGACCAGGCCAAATCCAAAAATGCCAGGGAATTTCTAGAAGCATGTCACTCTGACAAATCAACCATCAACAGACACATAGACCTTAACAACATCTACAGACTATGCAAAAGAGATGTTGCTGGTTGAGACAACCAACCAGCCCAAAAGAGAACAAAAAGACTCCAGAACCTCTCCAGTAGTAATCAGCACTCAGATCAGCATAGATTACCATATTTTTCAGAGTATAAGATGCACCTTTTTCCCTCCAAAAAGAAGGGTGAAAATCTGGGTGCATCTTATACACTGAATACAGCATTTAATACAGGTCTTCAAAGTGCAAAATCCCCCTTTTTTTAATTTGTCTCTTCAAAATCTTGGTGCATCTTACACTCCGGTGCATCTTATACTCTGAAAAATACAGTAACTCAAAGGTTAACTTCAGGCCACAGTCAAGTAAACAATACCCCAATCAATGAATTGCCAAAGAGCCCAAACAAAGGATCCTAAGACCATCCCCCACTCCCATAGGCAAGCAAGTCACCAGGGTATAAACTGACAGCAAACAGCACTCCTTGCTAGCGCTGATGATGTTACCTAGTTTGGGTAATGAAATGTCTAGAAAAAAACAAGCAAGCTCAGAGCATCAAGAGTAAATAGAGTAAAAACCCCAAAGGCTCACACAGGACAGAATTGGTGCCTTCTTCTATAGCTGCACAACTCCACCCTATAGTTTCTCCACACCTACCACCAGAATCAGATATTAAGGCCCCTTTGGAAGACCAAAAAAGAGGGTGGGTGGATCTTACCTCTGGTAACAGGATTTTCCAAAGTGTGGGGGCCACAATGGAAAAGCCTATTTTCCTAGAGCCCATCAGCCAAGATTCCTTGGCTGTCAGAATCTGCAGTTGGCCTCTTATGCCAGAACACAACCCATTGGGGCAAGACAGTTCTTCAGATATTCTGGACCTAGTTTTGTCAAGCACCAAACTTTTTCACGAAGACATTGGCTTGTTAAACTATAGTTTCCAGAATTTGAATCCACTTTATATTCTGCTTACAAATCATGACACAAAACACGGGTTTCCAAACTTGGTAATTTAAAACTCATGGACTCCAGCTCCTAGAATTTCTCAGCCAGATAGCTATGCTGACTGAGCATAGTTGGCTAAGGAATTCTGAGAACTGAACATAAGCTTTAATGTTGCCAAGTTTGGAGACTCCCTAACACAAAACATTATCTGAAATCCTGATTTGTGCACTGTATATAAAATGATGCCATGGAAAACTGTGGCTTAAAGACAGATGTCACTGTTAAAAAATGTGTAGTGAGACATAAAGAAATGAAGAATTGAACACAGAGACTCAAGGCTAACTTTCAGTATGATCATCATTATGATGAATCAGGTCTAAATTAAACACGTCACCAATCTTATAGGTCTTTATATATTGGTTGAAAAAAACAATTTTTAATACTGTACTTTAGTATATATTAACATTAAATTTATTTTTTCCCTATTGCTGTGTTAAGCAACAACCGCCTTTTTTATCAGGTTGGTTGGGGATAATGAGATTGTAATACAATTCATCTTACACTGAGAAATGCAAAATAATGTATATAAGATTAAAACCTATGGATGCTACTCACCTGTGAAACTTCTGCTGAAATTTTAAAGCATCAGCGGGCTCTTTAAATTTTGCAATGGCCTTTCGTTGTTGAGGCAGCATCTGTAAACTCTATTGAAGACAAAAAAAAAAAAGGAAAAGAACATCAGAGTTTAGATAAATTTTCTCTTAATAGCTGTTGCAAAAAATGAGCTAAAGTGGAAGCCACAAAGCTAGTACTTAACTCGCAAATGAATCCATCTGAATACATAATCTGATGTCCATGTTTAGCTATTATGAGAAATTCCACCATCTTCTAATATTTTCTCTACCTTTCTCTTTCTCTGTCTTTCTCTGCTACGTCATTATAGCAACTATAAGATGGTCTTTTAAAAAATAATTAAAATTCATTCTGAGGCTGTATTCTTGTTAAGAGAGCTCCTGGAGAGGGCTAGGAGGGTGTTAATCTGTTGCAAATATCATCTTGATTTCTGACACTTTACCTTTCTATATTTCCATTAACTTCCTTATACAAGTTAAAAGGGAAACAAAGCAAGTGGGAGGGAAGGACCAAGCCTTAAAGGAAGCAGCCCTGGTCTCTCTCTCCCAAGCAGAAACTGAGGAGACCAGCTTTTAGAAATGCAGATTTGGTAATTTATTCAAGGCAGGATATTTTGAAACTCCTTGGCAGAATGGTAGGATTTGAAAGCAGCCCCCCATCCAAGATCCAACACAGGACAAAAGCCATTAGCCACAATAGGAATTACCATTAAGATAATTTCAGAACACAAGCCCTTTCATTGCACCACCCCAGTGGTGGGTTCCGGATCCCATTCCAACCGGTACGGTTGGAACGGGCCTGGTGTCACCCACATGGACGCGCGCATCGTGCACATGCTTCATACTTGCCTGCGACGCTTCCGCAAGCCTCTGTGACGCTCCAGTCCCAAGGGAGTGGGCGGCATACAAATGTTAATAAATCTAAATCTAAAATCTAAATCCAGCTGCTCGGCGGAGCATTGCGCAGGTGTCGTACGTGCCATGCGCATAAGCGCCAAAGGACAAAGGAGTTTGGCCAGACAAGTGGGCCCTCCGGAGCACCATGCCAGAATAGTACCACATGCTCTGGGCAGGCTCCGGTATGCCCATACCGGAGCGTACCACCTGCAACCCACCACTGCACCACCCCTAGAGCAGTTCAAACTTCAAAGTCACATAAACCTGGGAGCTCAGATAAACAATAAGCCAGAGGTTGACCAGATTAGCTCAGACAAGCACCTAGGATTTAAATTTCCTCTTTTGCCTTTGGAGTCAACTATGACTCCTACATAATCCCATAGGAATCTAACAGCCAATAGAATATTAAAGGACATGTTCTTGCACTGGAACAGGAAGCTCAAATACAAAGCCCAAAGAAGGTATAAAAACCCACCCACTCTCAACTCCACAAGCCCTGGTGATTCTGCTTCATCAATAAACCTTACTTTTCAATTAGCCTCCATGTTGTTTCCAGTGTTTTTCTCCCAGCTTCTAACTGAACCAGATGGATATATGGTAGATAGTGCTTTGTACAGTACCAAGAGTTGTTAGTTTGGTGTGTTATCAGAGCATCCATAGGAAGGAATGAAAACGGTCAAGTAGTGGACTATGTCATGTGGCTGAAGCCCCATCTCTTTTGAATATGTTGTCAAAAAGACAAAGCAACAGGTACAAAGTGATCAAATTTTGATTGCACAGTTGCTTTGAATGTTGCATCTTGACTATTTTGACCTCTCTCTCTCCCTCCCTCCCTCCCTCTCTCTATCTCCCCTTCTCCCTCCCTCTCCTTTTCTCTCCCATACACACCCACACACACAATTCTGCCACAGGACAGAATTTTCTTTGAAATAAATAAATAAATAAAGCAGACATTTTAATATGGATTCAAAGTAGGGCTAACAGAAGCAGCTTGAAATGCCTGCAATTCATTCTCAAATTCTTTTCAAATGAAAAATGAAAGTTGAATTAATGATTTGAACAATATCTACTCCTCTTCTGTTTTTCATGCAGGAAATGGCTGGTGTTGCTGCCATGTTGTTTTGTAGTAACTGCATGGGCGCAGTTCACTGTAAATTGGTCTGCTTCGCATGCGTGGAGAACAGTTTACATTGAACTGTGCACCCGCAAGCAAACTGTGACGCTGCAAGTTTGAAACCCCTGTTCTAGAGTCATTTGTTAAGGTAACTTGAAAGTAATGCTATTTGGATTTCATTTTAAGGATTTATGTGTTTTATGATAGATGGATGGATGCACGAATTAGGATAGCTTTACAATCCCCCAAATGGATTGTTTTCTTCATGGATGTAAAAAAATTGTATCTTTGTATTTATATTGTATTATTGTATTTATATTGAACTTAAATATTTCAGTTAAATGGATTTAGTGAAAAGCAAGGTTTCAGGTTTAACACAATCTGTGAATGGATGATTTAAATAAATTTTAAGCATATGAAGAATATAACTATTCATCTCCTTCAGGTAAAGAATGAGTGGGTAGGAAAAAGGAGCCAAAATGAAATAGAGAAACCTATAATTAACTTGATTATTAATACTCTAAGTCAATATTCCGTCATTGATCCCTTTGTTCAATAAAGAAAGAAAATACTATTGCCTAAATTCTGCTGTTATGCATGGTATAGTGTACCTGTTCTCATCTGATAACTATAACAACAACTATAACTATAACTATAACTATAACTATAACTATATATATATA